TTTTTTTTTTTTTTTTTTTTTTTTTTTTTTTTTTTTTTTTTGTCTTTTGTCTTTTTCCGTGTCCGGCAACGGATCGCAACCCTCAGTGTTGCCCCGTACCGGACCGGGGACCGGCAACGGGATCGCAACCCTCGGTGTTGCTCCCGCGCCTCGCTCAGCCAGTGAGCGTGAACCGGTCTGTATGTGGGATCCGAACCCTCGGGCGGGAGCGCCACCGCGCTTCCCAAGCGGCGCACTATCCAGTGCGCCACCGGGCCGGCCCCTACTACATTCTTTTTTAAGGTACTAATCTCTTTGTAAATTTCCTCCTTCATATCTTGGATACTTTCTCTCCTTGGGGTATTTTGTTTTGTTTTGTTTTGTTTTTGGTGACTTGTAAATGGGCTTGCTTTCTTGATTTCTTTTTCTGCTAGTTCATTATTGGAGTATAAAAATGCTACTGATTTTTGCATGTTGATTTTGTATCCCGTAATCATTTACTGAAATCATTTATCATTTTTAAAAAACCCACTAGAGGGCCGGCCCGGTGGTGCACTGGAGAGTGCGCCACTTGGGAGCGCGGTGGTGCTCCTGCCGAGGGTTTGGATCCCATGTGGAGACCGGTTCCCACTCACTGGCTGAGCGCGGTGCAGGCACAACACCGAGGGTTGCGATCCCGTTACTGGTCAGTAAAAAAAAAAAAAAAAAAAACCACTAGATATTTTCATATAGTCAATGTTCATTTAAATTTATCCATGTATTTACCACTTTGTTTGCTCTTCATTTACTTTTTCATCCAATACTTCCCTTCTGAGATAATTTTCCTCCAACTTATAGTACATCCTTTAATGTGGGCCAATTGGTGATAAATTCAGTTTTTATTTGCCTGAAAATGCCTCTATTTCACCACTATTCTTGGGTGATATTTTTGCTGGGTATAGATTTCTAGATTGGCAGTTGTTTCTTTCAGGATACTGAAGATATTCCACTGTATTCTGCTTTTTGTGGTTGCCTTTGAAAAGTCAGCTGAAAGTCTGTCACTCCTGCAAGGATAATCTATCCTTTTTCCCCCTCTGGCTGCTTTTACAATTTTCTGATTGTCTTTGTTTTTCTGCAGTTTCACTGTAATATGTGAACTTTTAAAAATTTTTTTATCTTGTTTGGTATTTATTACACTTCTTGAATGTATGAATTGTGTCGCAGTTCTGGAAAGGACTTCAAATATTGTTTGTTTCTCATTTTTTTTCTCTCTTGTACTACTGGGACTCTTGATTAAATAAATATATGTCAGAGATTTTCACTCTGTCTTCTTTATCTCTTATTCTTTTATATTTCACATCTTTTCTTTTCCTCATTCTCAGTAATTCCTTCTGACTCATCTTTCAGTTCATTAACAATTTGTTTCTCATTTTTTTCTCTCTTGCCCTTCAGGCACTCTTGATTAAATAAATATATGTCAGAAATTTTCACTCTGTCTTCTTTATCTCTTATTCTTTTATATTTCACATCTTTTTTTTCTTTTCTGCATTCTCAGTAATTCCCTGTGACCCATCTTTCAGCTCATTAACAATCTCTTCAGCTGTGTCTAATCTGCTGTTATGCCTGTCTGCCGAATTCTTAATTTCAGTTGCTTTATTTCTCAATTCTATAGGTTTAATTTGGTTCTTTTTTAAATACTCTGCCTCTTTTTATAAGGAAAAAATTTCTGGCTTGTTTTATATTTCTTTATACATAGTAAATATCGCTGTTTTATAGGCTGCATCTGTTAATTTCAATATTTAATGCTTTTGTGGATCTGTGTTTGAAAAAACAGACTGTTTTCCTACTAGTTTTCACTCATGTTGTCTTGTTTCCTTTTTGTTTGTTTGTTTGGGCTGTTGGCTGGCCGTTATAATTGAAAAATTATTTTTAGGAATGATGTAAAGTCTTTCATCTGCTTCTCTCAGGTGCCTAGGAAACTATCAGTTTGGGATCACCTTAATCCCAGCTCAAGGTTTGCGGTTCCCTGGACCACCCAGATGATGCATACTTGGATTACCAGTCAGTACAAGGACTGGCTTATTTCCAGTTGAACTTTACTCTGAAGGTTGTGTCCTGCTGAGGGTTCCATCTTAATGTGTGTGTGGGTTGGAGTGAGGGGGTTGTCATATTTCACCTTGGATACACCTTGGACTTGGACTTCTATGTCCCTTTCATCTTAAAAAGACTTATTGTAAAAGTGACTTTCAGTGCTAGACTTATAGGAGTTTTTCTGTTTCCTAGATTTTGGCCTAGAAATTCCTCACTATCATGTTAGTTCTTTGATGCTTTTAAGACTATATATCATCCCTCTTTTTTAATGTCTTCAACAGGAGGGTTAGTCTGGATTACTTAATTTGTCATTACTTGAAACAGAAGTCCCTTATTCTTACTTTCTTTTTGTTACCTAAGTATACTGTTCTACAACCTTTCCCCCACTGTATATGTTGACACTGGGTAAAACATTAATGTTCTTATAGGTCCCATAGAGTTAGAAGGTACTTAACTGCATTCTTTTTACTATCACTAACTCAGATACAGTATTTTTTGTTTCCTAAGAAAGCCGTTTAGTCATAAGAAGCTCTGAAAGTACCACACAGCACAGAGCCTTCACTTTTTGTCTGCTACTCTACTTGCCCCACTATGAGGCTTTATGCAGATGACAGACAGAGCTTCTGAGAGAAATGCTTTATAGCTGGGTTAGGACCTAGGCCAGGGATTTATATAGGTTTTACATTCCCTACAACTTAATTGGCTTAGGATAGTGGTTCTTTATGAGTAAACCTGCACTCTGGGTGGAGTTTAGGGGTGGGAGAGGGCTTTGTTTTACTGCAAAAAGTCTTTGAAATCATAGACCAATTATTGTCTATAGACTCAATCATAAAACCACAACTATTGCCATGTGGGGCATACACCAAATTTTTTATATGAAATTAATGTCCAGAAAACTCTGACTTAGGGGATTCTGGATTGTCTCCAGAATGTTACAGATTCTTTACACAAATAATCTCACGTTTTATTGTTGTCGTTACATGTGGAAGTCCTTTCATCATTTTATGCTACCATTTATCTAAATTATAAACCATCCCTTCCCAAGAACATTTTCTGGTAGACAGAGAGTATGTTCAATGAACAGAGGTACCCCAACTGGGCCAAAAAGAATTCTCATTGTGTCTTGTTTCTTTCCCTGGGTGGTGACTAGAATTCAGACGCTACTCACTTCGCCAATCAACAGTCCGATCCCCAGAGAAGATGACTAGAGAAGGGTACCGAGTATCTTTTTTGGACAAGAAGTCTTCAGGTTCTTCTCCAGAAAAAGGCATGATACAAAAATCAGATACTTATCAGCTTACCCACGATGCCTCATTGGGCAAACGCCTAGATGTGGGTGATTCTAGCCAGATCCATCCCTATCAGTTACCTTCAGATGCTGGTCTGGAAAATTATGATAGTCATTATTCTCAACCTCTATCCCTCCACGGAAATCTTGGTAAAAGACCTCAGAGAAGCAAGAACTACCGAGAATATAACATAAAGCCTTCAAATGACATAAAGGCCACCACATCCCATTCCTGTGGAGACTTACTGACTTCTCTGTCAAACCCTGACTCCAGCACTGGAAGGCTTTTGAAGCTCAGTGCAGGTAATGACTTCCTGTCAGTTTATAGGTCTTTTTCATAGGCATGAAGATAGAAGGTACAACTAAAAATTCTGGAATGAACACTTCTTAAATTGCATTAGCATATTTAAAATTGTATTTCAGAGTCACCAATGGTCCATGGAAACTCTAGAAATCTGCAGGGAATGAGTTTAATGTGATAGATATATTAGAGAAAGTTCATAGAAATGTGAGCTTCACAAGTACATGCTATTTTAGTTAAGTAGTATCCTGGGACATATTTCTAGCAGCATCTAGTCTCCTTTGGCCACAGTCACCTCTATTATGAGTTACTTTCAGAAGAAGTTAGTTTCAAGGTAAGTGATAGAGAACACTCCAGTTATTTATTAATTTATTCAACAAAACTCATTGAACACCTACAAGCTGCCAAATAGTGTTCTAGCTCTGTGGATAAAGTTGCAAACAAAATAAAGTTCCATGTATATTTTACCACAATAAAAAAAACTTCCAGGGCGCCGGCCCGTGGCTCACTTGGGAGAGTGTGGTGCTGACAACACCAAGTAAGGGGTTAAGGTCCCCTTAGCGGTCATCTTTAAAAAAAAAAAAAAAATCCCTACTTTCATGGAATTTACATTCTAATGAGGGTAAGACAGATAATAAACAAGTTAACATATAAATATTTGTTAGATTATGATAAGCACAGCAAAGAAAAATAATTTCAGGGTACACAGAGTTATAAGCAGAAGGTGATGTTTTAGAATGTTCAGGGAAAGCTTCTCTGCTGGTGCATCATAAGTAGAGACTTTTGAATAAGGTGAGTGAAAGCCATGTGGATCTGGGGAGAGAACTTTCTGGACAGTGGGAATAGTAAGTGCAGAGTTTCTGAGGCTGGAACATGCTTGGCGTATTCAAGGAGCAATGAGGAAGCCAGTGTGACTGCAGCAGAGTAAGCAAGTAAGCAAAGAGAAGTGTGTAGATGAAGTTGGAGAGACAGCCGGACTTTTATTATTATTATTATTATTTTTTAAAGGATGACCGGTAAGGGGATCTTAACCCTTGGCTTGGTTTTGTCAGCACCACGCTCAGCCAGTGAGCGAACCGGCCATCCCGGTATAGAATCCGAACCCGGAGCCTTGGTGTTCTCAGCACAGCACTCTCCCGAGTGAGCCACATGCCGGCCCTCAGACTTTTATTCTGAGTGAGATCAGAAGTAGTTAGAGGGTCTGTATCAGAGGAGTGACGTGATCTCATTTAAGAATTACTCTGGATGCTGGGTTGAGAATGGAATCCAGACAAGAGATGATGCTACCTTGGGCTGGATAGATAGCAGTGGAGGTGGAAAGAAGCAGTCAGATTCTGAACACAACACCCCATGATTTGCTAATGGGCTGAGGGTAACGTGGGAGAAAGAGGATGACTCTAAGGTTTTAAGTCTGAATAACTGGAAGAATGGAGTTAACATTTACTAAGATGGAAAAGAGTGGGAGGAACAGGTTTCAACATAAATATCAAGAGTTTAGTTTTAACATCTTAAGTTTGAGGTGCCTATCAAAACTTCCCAGAGATGCCAATTTGATAATTGGACTTACTAGTCTGGAGTTCAGGGAAGAAGATGTGGCTGGAAATACAAATTTGGGAATTATAAGTGTATTGAAGGCATGAAAATTGTGAGTCTGGTTGAGATCTCACCTAAAGAGTGAATATAGATAGAAAAGAGATCTGAGGACTGTCTGGAGCCCTCCAACAATAAGAAGTCAAGTAGTTGAAGAGAAACCAACATAAAGAGCAAGAAAGAAGCAGCCAGAAAGGTAAGAGGGAAAAAAGCCAAGAGGAAGTGGTATTCTGGAAGCCAAGGGAAGAATGTGTTTCAGGAAGGAGGGTGTGATCAGTGCTGTGTCAGATGCCTCTGGTAGAGAGGGAGTGTACTTGGAACTGAGAAGTGATTATGGAATTTGGCAATATAGAGGACAGTAGTGACAGCTTCAGGGGATGCATGGGAATAAAAGCCTCATTGAGGTGAGTTCAAGAAAAAATTGGAAGCCAGTCAATAGAGTTATCAAATACATACAACCCCTCCAAGGAGTTTTGCAATAAAGGAGAACAGAGAAATGGATCTATACCTGGAGGGGGGATGGAGTCAAGGAGATCCTGATGGAAATGATCCAGTAGAGGGAAAATTGATGATGCAGGAGAGGAAAGGGGCAATTACAAGGGAGAAACAAACAAACAAAAACCCTTGGGTAATCAAGAGGAGATGGAATCCAGCCCACAAGTGGAGAGGTTGGCCTTAGATAGAAGCACAGTCATCTATTGGATCAAGAAGAAAGGCAGAGAATTTGTGGATACGAATATATGAATACAGGTGAGTTGGTAGATTTAGTGGCAGGATCACATAAAAATTTTCTTTGATTGCCTCTGTTTTCTCAGTGAAATACAAGAGGTCAGCACCTGAGATTAAGGGGGGAGAGAAGGTGCTGGAAGTTTGAGAAGAGATGTGATACAGTCATCTCAGAGAATAGAAGAGTAAATTGACCAGAGTAATATAGTGAAAGAACAGGGCCTGGTTAAGACAGTGATTATGAGTTTAAAGTGAGGAAGGTCAGAACAGATGCATGTTGTTCTCTGGCCACATCCCACTGCTCTGGTGTAGATTTGGAACGTGTGGACAGTTGGGGTCTTGTCAGGTGGAGGGAGAGAGAAACGGTTCAGAGAGTTGAGGATTATGCTAGAGAGTGGTTATTATGACCCTTGGATTCCAGGCTAGGTATGGATGGAAGTGAGACATGAGGGAGTTGAAGGGTAGGATCATCTCCCAGCCTGTTTCCTCCACAGATCTATATGCCACAACCCATATCAACAGTGACCCTACTCTGCTAGTCAACCTAGAGCAACAATTGTCCACCAGCCTCGGTGATTTAACATCAGCACATGGTTCCTTCCCAAACAACTCTGCCCTGGGAAGCTCTCTGCGGACACTGCTGTTGCCTCCTGGGACTTCAGAAGACAGAGAGATTTTGACCAAGAGGTCATTAAGCCCATCGAGGAGAGGATTCAAACGGAAGGACAATATCCTCACCAACTTGAATTCAAAGCATGGTTTCAGAGATGCTACAGGCAGCGAGGCAAGTATTGGCTTGTTTGTGATTGTGCAAGAAACATATCAGTTTGAATACCAGAATGGGTTCTGCCGAGGGGAGGAGTGGCCTGACTAATAGTGCTAGAAGTCAGTGGCCAATACTGCCAGGCTAAAGCCTGTGATTCTTCTGCTCTCAGGAAAGCCATTTCCCCACTGCCACCATTTTCTCATTTCTATCATAGAACCGTCCCTGATCTACTTCTAGATCATAAACATGGTGGAGAAGTACTTTGATAAGAAGTGGCAGACAAGAGTTTAACAACAGGAAGGAATGTGAAAGTTGCATTCCTTGGAGCCTCTGGGTCCACTGGAGATTGATCTCTGTAGCATTGATGTTTGTAAACTCAGCACCTTTGCACATCTGCTTCAGCTACAGATGACTAATCATTCTTATAAAAGTATTGCTTTGCTTTTCTGTCTAGAAAATTTTTTACAAAGTAGCAACAAGCAGAAGATGATTAGAAGATGAATTAGATTATCCAAGGGAATTTTAGCTGAAAGTGGTGCAGAGAATGAATGAAAAATCAAGAACTATTCCCACACAAACAGTATAATTCATTTTATAAAATAGTATGACAGTGTTGTACAATAAAACTTCATTATTATTCAGTTCTTAACAAATTTTTCTCCCGCCTTTGCATACATCCATTGTGGAGAAGGTCTGCCTCCCTCCTCTCTTGTCTGTTTGAATGTTCATTTTTCTCCAGGTCCTACTTCCATCATGAAGCCTTCTTTTTAGTTAGAGGAACCACAGCTCTCAGGGCCTCTCTTCCCTTGGACCCCTGATCCTTTGTTATATGAATTATTAGTCAGTTAATCATTTACTGCCCTGTAATGATGGAGGGATTTGGTCAAAAACAACTATCTCTAGTCACTTATTTTTCAGTTGTTGAATATCTTTTTGCACATTGGGATGGGTTTATAGGTTGTTTTGTTTGTTTAGGTTTTTGATTTGGTTTTTTCTGTGTGTGGTGGTGGTTGTCTGTTTTTGAATCGTTAAATAGTTTTTCAGAACTTTGGAAGTGGTTATAATTTTTGTGCACCAAAGGGGGCAGTCTTGTAATACTTTCTTTAGCTTTTTGGTCTCTTTTTCCATTCTCAAGCACCAATGCCTATTTTACTGGACAAGAGCACTTACTGTGTATTTAGGGTAAAGGTGCACATAGGATACTTGAGATGCTATTTTAAAAAGACATATTCTAGGAAATTTTTTCACCTCTATTTCATGTTATATTGTTAAAACTTCAATGCACTTTTCTGGGTTATCTTAAAAACTCATTTATTTGTTTTTGTTAGACATTATTTTTCTTTATATGGAAAGCTTTAAAAGAGCTGCTTAAATATAAATGTAAAAAATATATACTGTTCAGTTTCTAAAAGGTGTAAGTCAGAAAACTGCTAAAAGGAAAAGAGCATTTTTAAAAATCATAAAAAATAATCCCACGATGTTCAGAGTTAAACTATACATGAATTTATTTTTGACCAACTGACATTAGGGGCACAAATTATGAAAACATTGCAAAAAAGCCAAAATGTAGAATTTGCTGAAAATTAGAAGACCCATGAAAAGTAACAAAATTAGGGCCGGCCCATGGCTCACTCGGGAGAGTGTGGTGCTGATAACACCAAGGCCCCGGGTTCGGATCCCATATAGGGATGGCCGGTTCGCTCACTGGCTGAGCGTGGTGCTGACAACACCAAGTCAAGGGTTAAGATCCCCTTACCGGTCATCTTTAAAAAAAAAAAAAAATGGACGGGAAGTTCTCTTGGAATTGGAGATTTCACTAACTTACGATACTTACGAGAACCTGTATTTGTCCCCGCTGAGGAGCTTTTTTGAAAAAACATTTTGCAAACTGGAATAAAGAAAAGAAGGGGTTATGCATTGGTACTAGTCATGAGCAGGGGACATTAAGAGGACAACATGTTTGATTACCACTGTGATGACAAAGAGGATCACACACTATGGACAGCGCTGAGCACCTGCTGTGAGCCGGGAGCCCTGCCTGGCGATTCCAGGCATCACCCACTGTAAGGTGGGCACCGGGCCTGCCCCCCTTCTACGGCTGGTAAACTGAAGCACTCAGCAGTAGAAAGACTAACAAAATTAGCTCAAAGTTCATAAAAATTATCCCAGCTCTCACCAGATTATGATAAATTAAAGTGCTGAAAGGCATATATAAGTTTCCAATCTGCTCCATGATATACACACAAAATTACCAATACATGAAAAACCAATGACAGTAAATACTCATTTTTTGACAAGTTCCTCTAAAGTGGCCTTGTGGTATAACTGGACTTTCTATGACTTTTCTCCTCAATCAGGTTAACTTCTTAAAGAACTTCCTCTTTTACCTCTTCATTTGTCTACAGTCCTTCCACAGTACTCTCAGTGCACATGGTCAGTGCTCAGTAGAGATCTGTTGAATAAATGTTTATCCCGTGTGTAGTGCCTTTCCCTATTAATCACAGGCCATGTGTGACTCAAGGCATAAATGGTACTGTATTTGGTGTTCTGCTTCACAGTTGTTAGTTGTGATAGCATTAGCTAATTAATCATCTATGGTTTTTTACATCAAAAGAAATAAAGACTGGGCCGGCTCGACGGCACACTCGGTAGAGTGCAGCGCTTGGGGGTGTGGCGGCGCTCCCGCTGAGAGTTCGGATCCCATATAGAGACTGGTCCGCTCACTGGTTGAGCACGGTGCGGGCGCGACACCGAGGGTTGCGATCCCATTGCAGATCACAAAAAAAGACAAAAAGGAAAAAAAAAAAAAGAAACAAAGACTGAGAAATAATTTGGCTGTTTCCAATATATATCAACTTTCTTGACGTCCATGAGACCCTACAGAAAAGACCAGTAGATAGATTTGTACCATAAAATTCGCAATTATATAAATTCTATAAATATTGTGTCTGAATGAATAAAAACAATTGTGAATTTTACAGTACAGATCTATCCACACATCTACATATGATTCTCACTAAATAAAAAGTATCTTTAGTACTGAGTCCAACAATAACATATAACATTTAAAATGTTATGAGATATTTATGTTTATTGTATATTAATAAATATAAGCTTATTATGAGTTATTCTTTTTTATTAAATCATACCCAGTTTTACTTTATGATATATAATACTTTTTAAAACATTCTGTAGTTTAATCTTTATTACATAACATAATGTATTGAACCATAGATGTAGGTGTCAAATGACACATTTTTGTTTTCTTCTGAAAATCCCTACTGAAAATTGTGATAGAAGATACTGTTACCTTTAAAATTATCTTTGGATTATTGTGTTTGCCTTGGACACAAATAATATGCAGTTCAAATCCAAATCATCTTTCATTTTTACTTTTTTTTTAATGTTAATTCTTTAAATGTCTGAATTCTTACTTCCTTATTGTGTAAGAATGACAAATGGTTGGGGGGTTTTTGTTTTGTTTTGTTTTTGTTTTTTTCTTGAGCCTTTCTCTAGTGACTTGGGCAGTTTGCATGGTTTGCCAGGAAACCGCAGTCCCCCAATCTCTGCCAGAACCCCCCATGTGGCCACTGTCCTCAGACAGCTCCTGGAGCTTGTGGATAAGCACTGGAGTGGCTGCGGCTCCCTCCTCCTCAACAAGAAGTTTCTCGGTGAGTGAGCACATTCTCAGTTTTTGGAGAAGGGCTGGACCTTGCTTCTGCTCTGTGTTCTGCTAAAAGCCACTAAGCCCCCTTAACTTGCAAGAAAAATTGTTCTCATGATCACTTACCAAAACTTCTCAGAAGCACCATAGTTAATAAATCTGCATTTTTTTCATATTCTTCCTCCTAGTTTTTATAAACCAGCATTCTTTCCGATTGTTTTGTACAAATTAATTTGTTACTCATGTGATTTGTGTGTTTGTTGGCAGGGGGGTATCTTTGGTAATATATAAAGTGACCAAATATGTAAAATAGAGTGGTCAGATTAATAATTACAAAGATTGTATGATCCTTGAAAAAGTGCCAATAATAAATAAAACAGAATTTGGATTTGATCGTCAGAGTTTTGAGATGACTGTTGAAATGTTATGATTTGAAAAACTCAAATGAGTAAATGAACTGGACTCTTTCTAGGGGTTCTTTTTACAAATATGGGGGGAAAGGGGTTTTGCAAATGTTGGCTCCATGTGTTTGTTGTTTCATGGAAGAAAAATTCAAGGAACTTTTGGTGGTAGTAAAAATTTAAGTAAAAACTAGAAAGTAGAAAGTTGTTTGGGTTTGAAAGAATTTTTTTTTTTTAAATTTCTAAAGGGACATACAGGAGAAGAAATCCTAGCCCAACTATTTTCCTCCCATGTTGATCTATTCTTTTTTGTAGGAGAATATCCCCTGGAGCCACTAACCAGTGACTAGGGAACAGTGCACTCAGGAGGGGATGCTGTTGTTTCTCCATAGAGGATGTGGGATATAATTTCTTGTCCTTTATAAAACACCTCTTACAGCCACCTACTATATTCTTGTAAAAAGGAGATATTAGATTACCCTATTTGTCCTATGGAGCTGGTAGTTATATTGACTAGGAATTCTGTGCTTTAGCTTATAAGATTGGCCTGTGTGCCCAACCTGAATTTTTGGCAGGTCCTGCCCGAGATTTGCTTCTGTCTTTGGTAGTCCCTGCTCCTTCTCAGCAGTGGTGTCGCTCAAATTCTGAAGACACAACGAAAGCCTTCCACAGGAGGGAGATTGAACTGAAGGAGGCTGGGCAGCTGGTCCCTAATGATATGGTATGGTCCCTAATGATATGGTATGCCTCTCTCATCTTCCTTTCCTACTCTTCCTTTACAAGAAAAGGACAGAGCAGTAGGATTTGAACAGCTCTGTGCCCTAAAGATCATGATCACCATGAACGCTTAGACGTTCTGGACTCAAAATATGGAAAATGCAGTGTAGGCAAATCAGGAACACAAAACTTGCCAGGAGAGGGACAACTTGGAGGTTCTGTAGAGACAACTCCCTAATCTTAGCCCTAATCCAAAAATTCTAAAGAAAGATTTGAAATAGGAAGAAAAAAACAAACAACAACAACAAAACAAAAAATAAAAACAAAAAACCCTAGAGTGAGAATATTTAGGATCGTGTTCTTGAAGGTTATGTTTTGATCCCAATAAGGGGAAGGCAAGTGTCTCTGGGATTCTCGAACCAGGGGCCATTCTACAGCATCCGGCTTCTGGCTTTGGGAGAGGAAGAAAGAACTCATATCCCCAGGCTTTTTTCCTTTCTCTTAACATTAGAGGATTTTCAGACACCATGTTCAGTTCTAGAAAATTTAGACAGATGCCTCAGAATGCTGGCCACTTATCAAAATGACCACTTATCCTGCAAGAGTAGTGGATAACTCAGGAAATACCGCACTCCATGTGATAAATTTGTTTGCTGCACTTGAGGTGTGTTTAGCAATGAATTAAAATTGTAGTGAGAAAGTCACAGAGATGCTGACTTTCGTTCAGTTTATCACTAAGAGACAAAGATTCTTTCGGTCCTCTAAAAGCACTCCTCCGATTTCAGATTCTTAGTGTGTTTGTATTTTGTTTTCTGATCTAAAGGAAAGTTTAAAGCAAAAACTGGTCAGAGTGCTGGAGGAAAACCTCATTTTGTCAGAAAAAATTCAGCAGTTGGAGGAAGGTGCTCCCACCTCAGTTGTGAGTGGGCACCCATCCCATACTTACGGTAAGTTTGGAAGAGCCATGTGTGGGGCGTCCCCAGACAACTGTTTATCTGTAGATGACCTGCTTATTAAGCTTCATCATCCAGAGCTCACGTTCTGCCTTTGGCTTACTTGGCCATTACTTTTCTTGGCAGTTAAGGGAAACAATCATCTTGCCTCGGGGAGTTGTAATGTTGGTTACTTGAGTTACCAGATGAAGCTCTTTGTCAGTGTAAAGCATGTACAAATGTTTGTTATTATTGCCATCATTTTTCAGAATGACACGTGCCTTTTGTGATTATAGCAGTAGAACACGTTCTTTATAGAAAGTTTGAAAAATATAAGGAAAATATAATCCCATGACCCAACAATAACTTCCATTAGTGTTTTTAGTATATGTTCTTCTACCTTACCTCTATGCATACATTTTTAACTCAGAATTTAAAATTGTATCCTAAAAAAAAAATGTACATACAACAAAATGCACACAAATTCCAATCAAAATACAGAACATTTCTGTTACTCTGAAAGTTCCCTCATACCCTGTGAGTCAGTTTCCCCAACTCTCTACCCCAGCAATCACAGACCTGATTTATACATCCTAATGTTATTAATTTAATAGCATAGGCATTTCCTATAATATCCTATACCATACACCTAGTCCTCTATGTACTTATTTCTAATGTTTGCTATTATAAATAGAGCTGCCAGTAGTTATAATAATGGTTATATAAATATAATATAGAGAGAATATAAATAATTCTAAAGAATTTCCAAGCATTCAAAAGAAAGACCTGAAGTGGAAGAAAAAAATCCTAGAATAAAAATGCTTCTCTGAGACTGTCTTTCTTTCTTTCTGCTGAAGCTGACAGTCCTAATATCTATACTGTCATAAATGCTATTAATATCTATATACATGGGCCGACCCCGTGGCGCACTCGGGAGAGTGTTGCGCTGGGAGCGCAGCGTTGCTCCCGCTGCGGGTTTGGATCCTATATAGGGATGGCCGGTGTGCTCACTGGCTGAACGCGGTGAGGGCGACACCAAGCCAAGGGTTGCAATCCCCTTACCGGTCACAAAAAAGGACAAAAAAAAAAAATCTATATACACAAATCTTTGTGTACATTTCAGACTATTTTCCTAGGAGACATTCCTAGAAGTAGAATTAGTGGGTCAAAGGATGTGGAATTTTTTTCTTTTGTGGTTGGCTGGTACAGGGATCGAACCCTGGACCTTGGTGTTAGGAGCACCACACTCTAATCAATTGAGCTAATGGGCCAGCCCTCCAGGATGTGGAAATATTTGAGGCTTTTGTTACACATTGCCAAATCACTCCCAGAAAAGGTTGTTTCAATTTACACTCACCTCAGCAGTGCATTCGAATGCTCTTTTCACTCTACCCTTGCCAACACTGGCTATTAAAAAATAATTTTGCCATTGTGATAAGTGAAAAAATAACATCTCATTTAAGTATTGATTTGTGCTATTTCATTATTAGCATAGTTTAGGATAGCATTTTAAATAAAGTCTGCTCTTGACGGATTAGCTCAGCACCCATAAGCAAATTACAGGCATTTGGATTTATATGAGGAAATCAATTTGAAATTTCTGATTTGGAAGCACTGAATTTCCGTTGTTAAACCTCACACTATCTCACACAAGCCTGAATAATCAAGACATCAGTCTTCTCCTACCTACTCTGAAAATAAGTATGTGTTTGTACACGAGATACTTTCAATCAGCCATGAGGCCCAGTACAGTATTTTGGCTCACTGGTGATACCTACAGCTGTTGCAGCCTTGTTTTCCACTTTCTTGAACCTTGCTACTCAAAATGTAATCCACATTAGCATCATCTCGGAGCTTGTTATACAAATAGAATATTATTTAGACCTACTGAATCAGAATCTATTTTTAGTAAGATCCCCAGGTAATTTGTAAGCATATTAAAGTTTAAGAAGCACTATTCTAGAAGACTGATTTACTCGGGACTGGAGTTCCTGTGCTTTTACCTACTTTATTATTACAGGCAATGGTAGCACATTTGAGGAACTAATATGAGTATCTTGGCCACAAGTTCAGTTTCTGCAAGCATTTGTTGAGTTATGACCATGTGCCAGACACAGTTCTAGATGTTTTCACATACCACATGGAGAATGAAGGACATACATTCACAAACCAAAATGGAGAATACAGAGAGAGACCTAAAATTTGTTGACTGCCTGTGCTAAGTGCGGATGGTGTCTCACTATATCCTCATAACTCTGGGGCTGTGGGGTAGGGTTGTTAGCTCTAGTGAAAGTCAGAAAAATGAACTAATGTGCAATATTAAGTGGTTGAATTTTAATTCTGATATTTTGCCAAACCCCATATTCTTGCCACCATGTCTCCTGTCTCTAAGGGAAGGAATGGTGAATGGAGTATGGAGTTGGGTGCAATGGGGTCCCTCAACTCTCAAGATGTTCATCTGAATACTTAAGCTCTGCTCAAAGACTAACAGCGTGGAATCCTGTTCACTCCTGGCTACTGTACCCTTTCTAGATGATCTTCTGCACAAAAACCAAGAGCTAAACATGCAGGTGGCTTGCCTAAATCAGGAGCTTGCCCAGCTGAAAAAGCTGGAGGAGACAGTTGCCCTTCTCCACGAAAGTCAGAGGTAAGAGAGGGTCTATCTTACTTGCTTATGGATGTTTATCTTACTTGCAGATGTTTACTTCCCTTTATCTCCTTTGTTTTCCTTGGAAAATTAATATCTGTACACTTTGCACATTAACTCCATTCTGTGAGTAAACCTCCTATATAAGGCCAGTTAGCTCAGGGTTCAAAGAATACTGCTTTCCAGAACACACCAGAGAAAAAATATCTTTGCTGGTATTGGTGGGTTGCAATTAGTTTCTCACTGGATCTAACAAAACCTTTGGCTCAGCTAACTTTCTTTGGTCACTACCCCTGAAATCAGCCATTTGGCTCCTTTGGAAAATGCCTGCCTTTGGTCACAGAAGACATGTCAAAAACACTCAGCAGAGAGTGATAGGGAAAGAATCCAAAGTACGTGTTCTCTTCAGAACTCAATAGCATCAGCCTCTTCAAAGAACAGCACCCTCAGAATCCAGACTAGGGAAAACATCAGAAGAGACCTCAAGACTATTGGCATATTTAGAGGGTCCTTGAAATTTTGATTTGCCAACCCACCTTTACTAGGACTTCCAATGAAGTTTAAATATAAGCACTCCATCCCCAAATCTTCAACCCCAAACTTCACTTCCTGATTTTCACTGGGATTTTCATATTCAGAAGATCTGACCCAGACCAATTCTGGATGGTTTTTATTTTGTTTTTTTTTTTCCTTTTTGTCTTTTTTTTTCGTGTCCGGCAACACAACCCTCAGTGTCGTGCCCGTACCGGACCGGGACCGGCAACAGGATCGTTAACCCTTGGTGTTGCGCCCGCACCTCGCTCAGCCAGTGAGCGGGAACCGATCTGTATGTGGGATCCGAACCCTTGGCGGGAGCGCCACCGCACTCTCAAGCGGCGCACTGTGCAGTGCGCCACCGGGCCGGCCCATGGATGGTTTTTATTTTTAACGTTTCATCATAATTATTTCAAACATTGCAAAAGTAAAGAGAATAGCATAAAGTCACCATTCTCAAACTTGGGTATGCATCAGAATTACCCAAAGGACTTGTTAAAATGCAGATTGCTGGGCTCCACCCCAGAATTTCTGATTCAGGAGGTCTGGGATGGGAACTGAGAATGTGCATTTCTAATAAGTTTCCAGGTGATGTTGTTGCTGCTAGTTTGGGAACCACACTTTTAGAACATTAAGGTATATCTCTTTAGTGATATACAGTCACAATACTGTACTTTAAACTGAAATAATTCTTTTGTGTGTTGTTAAACCATCAACTCTATTTGTTTCATCTTGCTTTTGATTCTTAGGACTTTTTTATTATTTTGATTTAACCTTGTTTTTATAATTATGTACAGCATTTACATGGTCCCAAAGTCAAATCTACTAATAACATAAATTCAGAAAAATCTAACTTCCTTTCCTGTCTCTTCTATCCTTTCCTTCCCTCCCACTAGCCTTATTCTGTGGGTGTGTATTTGTATTTACCCTTTATTACCTAAAAGGAAGCATATGTTGCCTTTACATTTTATCCTGGAAATCAGTTCACAGTAGTGTAAAGAGTTAGTTCTTTTTTTTTTTTTTTTAAAGATGACTGGTAAGGGGATCTTAACCCCTGACTTGGTGTGGTCAGCACCACGCTCTCCTAAGTGAGCTAACCGGCCATCCCTATATAGGGATCCGAACCCATGGCCTTGGTGTTAGCACCACACTCTCCCAAGTGAGCCATGGGCCGGCCCTTAGAGTTAGTTCTTATTCCTTTTTATAGCTGCATAGTAAGTACTCCATTGTGTGGATGTACCGTTTATTGAATTAGTCTTCTATTTTTTTGTTGTTTTTGTTTTTTATTGGTGGCTGGCCGGTATAAGGATCCAAACTAGTCCTCTATTGATGGACATTTAGTTTAATAGTATTTTTTTTTTTTTCCTTTTTTTGTCTTTTTTCGTGACCGGCAACGGATCGCAACCCTCAGTGTCGCGCCTGTACCGGACCGGGACCGGCTACGGGATCGCAACCCTCGGTGTTGCACCCGCACCTCGCTCAGCCAGTGAGCGGGAACCGGTCTGTATGTGGTATCCGAACCCTCGGTGGGAGCGCCGCCACACTCCCAAGCGGCTCACTGTAGCAGTGCGCCACCGGGCCGGCCCCCTATTTTTTAATTATTTTAATGCTTGTTTATAACTATTTATTCAAATATTTTAATGATGGCCACTTTAAAATATTTGTCAGATAATTCTAACGCCAGTGTGTGGATGGCTTTCAACGTTACGTGGTAGCACAGAGTCTGAGAATACAGTCGTGACTAGCACCATTAGTTAATTCCAGAGGCAGGATAGATTAAAAGTGGAGGTTACAATTTGGGGATAGAAATTGGAGTCCTAATCAGGTGCCAATTACCCAGGGCTTCTACCTACCTCCTCATGAGAGTGCTTTGGAAAGAATAGAACCACCGCTATATACAATGTGAAATATATTATTGCTTCAGCAGTCTGGAACATAAACAGAATCGTAATGAAGAAATTTTAGGTCTGCTTTTAAAATAATCCACTCATAAATCAGACAATTCTTTCTATTTAAAGATACTACTTCATTTTACGTTTGTCTTCAGCAAACTTTTCAGATCTAAATGGTATCTACTTTGCTTTTATGACTTCATGATTGCCCTTCCCCCTGTGCCTCAGGTCCCTGGTGGTAACTAATGAGTATCTGCTGCAGCAGCTGAATAAAGAGCAAAAAGGTTATTCCGGGAAGGCGCTCTTGCCTCCTGAGAAGACTCATCACTTGGGGAGATCATCACCCTTTGGGAAAAGCATGTTGTCTTCCTCCTCGCCAGTGGCACATGACACGAGTCAGTATCTAATCCAGAGTGACTCGGATGCTGTCCCAGACCCTAGTTTATGGAGCTAGCATTTACCACCTTCATGGCAGCCTCCCTCTTATCGACAAGGGGCTCTCAGTGCCATTGCCACCAGTAAAGATTAAGAAAAAAACTTATTCTGATTACATTGTACTGGTCCTTCTTTTTATTTCTCTGTTTATCTCTTCCCATCCAGTCATTCTTTCCTTCTGCCCACAGAAATAGTTGGTGCTTAGTCCTAGGCATCATATCACATAGAGACATTTGACTGGAAATGTCAAAAAGGAAAAAACACTAGATATTTTTCCCAGTATCAGTTGAAACTGTGTAGAAAAAGGTTTAAAAGAACATTCACCAGGTGTCTTTTGTATTAGAAGAAATTTTAGAGAGTCTGTGTTTATTGATTTATCAGACATGTTTTGAGTTTCTTCCTACCATAGTGAAAAGGTGACAACCAACAAGAAGCTGGAGAAACAAGAGGAGAGGCAGGGGCAGGCCAGTAGAGATGCTGTGGCTGAGCTTTGGGCTCAGCGTCCATTTTACATACGGGTGCCCTGTATTTCTTTTAATCCTGATTGACTGGGCCTTTTAAAAATCAATGGAAACAGACAATGCAAGTGGTTCTAGGTCTCTCAGGTAGCTAATGCTGACAGAGAGTGTGCAGAGGGCGAAGGAATGTCAACCTAATGCCACCTTGTGCTACTTTTCACCTTCAGGGTCACATCAGAGAGGGAGGCAGGTGGAAAGGTTAGACACTTATTTGTGCCCCTAACTCAGGTGCTGTGCAGGGAAGGAGAGCTACTGCCATACTAATGAAAAACGGAGAGCACACATTTCTAAGTTACAAATGAAACCCACAGACCTCTGGGTTTTATGTGGCTTCCCTAAAGGAGCCTGTACAGAGGAGCCATAAGTTTCTTCGAGCTGCGTAGCTCCGGGAGAGCTAGAGTGAGCCTGTGCTCTGTGGAAATGTCAGAACAGCCTCCCTGCCCCCCGCCACTTTTCTGGGTCTTCGTCCCATTGCAAGACCTTCAAAGACCCTAAGCCTTGCCCGGGTAGGGGAACCTTGGCCAGTGTCCTTGCAGCTCTGAGCTGTTATTTTTCAGGGTCCCAGCACAGTGCACAGGGCAACCTACTGGACAGACCATGGAGGGGGGGGGTTAATAACACCCTCCTTTCTACAACCCCAACCCTTCCTGCCTGCCCCTATGAACATCTGACAATGCCAGCCCCAGAATCTGCACAGGGCACCTCTAAGAAGGAACAAAGAGCCTGACCCAGACTGAGTCACCTTCCACCCTGTTTTCTATTGTCACCGAAAGTGGCTGACTCTACCCCGAGGCAGGCACCTCTCTAGGGCTGCTGGCCACTGTTGAGGAAGCTGTCTGTGTTTCTGATTTTCCTTGCGTGGCACTTGGTCCAGAGGGCAGGGGTAGGGGTTGGGATGTGAATGGAAGGGCCAAAGAGTTGTTACCCTGTGGGGCTAACTAGACTCAGCATGGAGGGAGGAAGACCCCTGAAGCAAGTAGAAAACAAGAGGAGTTCCTCACCCTAGGCCTGGCACTGCTAGGAGAAATAGGAAAATCGGTCTGGGATGAAGACTGGTTGTCAGGGAAGTTCTGTGCCCAGAGGGAGGGGCAGGGCCACTCTGACAGGTTTGGACTTCCCCCAGCTGTACAGAGAGGGGCTTTGTGTCTCCCTCCCACAGACCCTATCCTCTCTGCCTTGCCCAGCCTGGCTTTGCTAGCAAGGGTGCCCTAAGCTTTGACCATGAGGAGGCTGTGAGGGAGGAGCAGTGATAATGGGGCCACAGTGGCGTTGTCGATCAATGGCTACCACGGAGCAGATTCTGCTAGACTCATTTGAAATTTAAGAGTCTTCCTGGCTATGGGTGGGCCTTGATTTCCCTCAGGCTCCATAGTGGCTTTTCAAAAAGAAGAGGGGGCTTTACTCCAACAAGGTGGAGTTTGGAGGCTCAGCCAGTGCTCTGGGTTCCTCCAAGCCACACTGCCAGTCACAGAATGGACGAGCCTCTGTTCGCCCTGCACACTGGATGGTACTCTCACCTGCGGTTTAATAGCTGGGAGCCTCGCCCAATTTGGAATACAGCTAAATTCACTTTACTATAAGGACATTTTACTAAATGAAAGCCAGAAGGATTTGGGGTTCACCCGTATCATGCTCATTTAAGTAAAACTTGCAATTCAAAAAAATTCCTCAAGGCTAAGATTTGCTTGTGGAACAGGTAGAGCTGAAAAACTCTTCCCTGGGTTGTGCAAGGAAATGTGTCAGCCATGTCAGGAGGAGCGCGCAGCTGCCAGCTATTAGGCAAGGCTCTGCTGTGGCCACGGCCTCATCCGCCATCCTCTAATTCCCACCTAACCTCCCCACTGTCTCTGTGCCAAGCCACACTATTCCTCTACATCCCCATCCCCAAGTGAAGTTGGGCTCAAGGGATTCAGGGCCACCTGGGGCAGGAACATCCCAGAATAGCCTATGGGATGAGGGGATGAAAAGTTGCTGCTTGGCCTTGTTATCTGGATCAGGAAGTGTGAGTGCTTTGGCCCGTTTTCTGTTGCTTGTGACAGAATACCTGAAATTGGGTAGTTTACAAAGAAACAAAATTTACTTCTTACAGTTTTGGAGTCTAGGAAGTCCAAGGTCAAGAGGGAGCTTCTGGTGAGGGCCTTCTTCCTGGTGGGGACTCTACAGAGTCCAGAGGCAGTGCAGGGCATCACACAGTGAGAGAGCAAGAGTGTGCTAATGTGCTGGCTCGAGTATCTCTTCCTTTTCTTATAAAGCCACCTGTTCCACTCCCATGATAACCCATTAATCTGTGAATGGATTAATTCATTCATGAGGGCAGAGCCCTCACGATCCAATAACTTCTCAAAGACCCCACCTCTCAACATTGCTACATTGGGGATTAAGCTTCAACATGAGTTTTGGAGGGGATATTCAAACCATAGCAGTGAGTATTTGTGAACGTATGTCTTTTAATCCTTTCTGGCACCCTTAGGAGCTGCCCTCTTCTGGGTAGAACTAAGTCCCATCTAGCCCCCTTGTCATAGCAGGAAGGAAGGAGAGTTGGTCCCAAAACCTTGAGCTTAGGGAAAGCTATGACCTATCATTCAGAGCCTCAGAGAGAAGATGATCTGGAAATGCCCAGCAGTCCTCAGGACCAGAGAGGCCCCTCCCATCACCCCACCCAGGATGGTGAACAGATGGGATGGACTCAGCAAGAAGAGGCCCCTTCACTGTGGGATGCTCCGCCCCTTGCCACAGGCCAGGGTTGGGTGCCAGGCTCTATCACTGGCCATCCAGCCCTGTTTTTGGAAATCACTGTTGGGGCTTGCTGTGCTAGAGAGAGCCTGGCCTGGGAGGCAAGAGGCATGGTTTTGGCCTCTAGTCTGCAGAAGCCCCTCCACTCTCTGGGCCTCAGTTTGCTCAGCCATAAAATTAGGGAGTTGGACTCTCTACTCTCTAAAGTTCTTCCTGGCCCTGCATTTTCTGAAATTCTGAGCTGGAACCCAAAAGGATTTCCCTCTGTGGCCCCCTCGTAGCCTCGGTAGCAGGCTTAGAACCGAGGCCTGAGGGCCGGCCCGTGGCTCACTCGGCAGAGTGTGGTGCTGATAACACCAAGGCCACGGGTTCAGATCCTATATAGGGATGGCCGGTTCCCTCACTGGCTGAGCGTGGTGCTGACAACACCAAGCCAAGGGTTAAGATCCCCTTACCGGTCATCTTTAAAAAAAAAAAAAAAAAAAAGAACCTAGGCCTGGCACTGGGGCCTCTGCCAAGGCTTGGTCCAAGCCAAGTCTGCTGTCTCATCCCTCCTCCTGCTGTGAAAGTGGAGAGGGGCCGAGTCTCCAGTCTGAGGCACTAATTGCCCGAAGGCAAGCTGTGATGGTAGGACTCTGTGTCAGGACCAAGTTAAAAGGCTTTAGATTTCCCTAAGGAACATCGTCAGGCAGTCTGGCTCTGCGCTAATGGAGGGTAGTCGTGTGTCTTTTTCTGGGCAGGGCTCCCAGTGGAAGGGGAGGGATCAGTGGGCTGTGGTATGCAGGGGATGATGACACTGAGGGGGGTCACTAAGGTGTGAATGTCATTACCCCTGTTATCATATACCCAAGTAGGCCATACTGGTACAAAAGGTGTCTTTATTGAGGTCTGGGTAAGAATTAGGCACTTGGCCAGAGCAGCAGCTTAAATATGAGGCAAGCAGGCCGGGGTTTGCCATGCCCAGGGCTGGGCTGGGGTGGTGTGGCTTTAGGCAAATGCTGTCCCAGGGCGGACAGAAGTTGAGGAGGGAAGAGGAGGAAGGGGACGCAGAGCAGTCTGGGTCAGAGGCCTGGTGGGCTGGCCCTGAGGAGCTGGGCAGGAAGCTCTGGGTGGCAGGTCCAGCAGGGAGGGGACTGGGCTCTCTTGCTCCACAAGCCCCTTAGGCCCAGGCCTGAGCCTCTGGTGGGGGCAGCCGCGCCGGGATCCTTCCCAGGCCTCACTTCTTCACCTTGGCATCATAGGTGCCTGCATTCTTGTAGGCACTCACATAGCCACTGTCGTCCAGGATGTCCTGCCGGCCAGCAATGCCCTTGCCCTTGCCGCTCTCATCAAAGCGTTCCTTGTGGGAGCCGGTGTACTTGCTGGTGTCGGTCAGCCGGTCTACAGCACCCCCTGTTTTTGCTTTCTGTTTGGACACAGTTCCCCCAAGGGACATCTGGTGAGGGAGCCCAGCCCTTCCCACCCCGAGTCAACATTGCCCACACCCCCCTCAGTGGCCTCCTGAGACCAGCAGGGCACTTACAGTGACGCCCACATTGGCTGGTTCCTTGCCTGCCACCAGCTGGCAGATGGCATCAAAGGCTTCCTCCTTGCTCTTCCCCTTGAATCGCTTGGTTGCCAGCTCTTCCAGGGCCTTCTTGAACTCCTCATAGTTGATGACCCGAGCAGACTTCGCCCTGCCAGGCATGTGGGCACCATGAGTGTTCCCCCTTCTTGATGTCCTCCCTGGTGCCAGCCCCCCACTTCCCCACCTTCTGGGAACATGAGAAGCAGGGGCTGCCTGGGGCTCACTTGACTTTGGAGAAGACGATGTCGACATCGGTCCCTGTCACAGCCTTTCCGTCAGCCACCTTGCAGTCTTTGCACAGCTTGGCCCAGTTCTTGCCATTCATCTCTTGTCCACTGGCCTTGGGGTCACCATGGATGGCAAACTTGCGGAAGCTCTCCTCCAGCCCAGCTACATCTGTGCTTGCTGCCATGCCACCCTGTAGGGACCCACTTGTCATCTCCCAGCCAAGCTGTCCCTCCCCTCCCCAAGGCACAGAACATCCCAGCCTCTATCTCAAAACCTGCAAGGTCTGAGCTGGCGGTATGTCTGCTACAGAGCCGCAGAGTTGGAGCTGGAGCTGCCTGGGGAGAGGGACCAGCACTCAGTGTCTCCCTGAGTCCCAGAACCCTGAGGAGGAGCTCCAGAGGAATTGTCCTGTCACTGAATGCCAGCCCTGGCTCTGAGTAGGGTTCAGAAGATGAAATCATGATGCCCACACCAGGCTGGGAACAGAGTGGCACTGTCCAGAAAGACTGTGATGGCAGCAGCTGGGGCCATGGCTTTGTCTGGCCCTGGCACAAAGCCTGCTTGGGTGGAAGTGAGGGTGGCAGAGCAGGCCCCCCTTCCCTGGAAGCTACACACCAAGCTGGGTCAAGGCCAGGCCAGGCTCCTGGTTGGGCAGGTATTTAGTGAGGACAATGTCTCTGTAGGGGTCATGAGGACTCAGCAAGACCCAGCCCAGGCCTGAGAAGGGAGCCAGAGCATGGGCAGGGGTGCCTGCCCTAGGCAGGGGTGCAGCTGGCCCAGCCAGGACCTTGTTACTATTTGCTGTTAAACAGAAACATGAGGGGAGCAGGAGCTTGGGCCTGGCCTGGCCACAGTTTGTGAAGCCTGGAGACAGTTGCTAAGGGAGGGTGGTGCTGCTTGGAGAATGTTGCTAAGGGCAGGATGGTGTCGGGCGGCTCGGGGAGAAGCTCCCAGGGCTGTTGGGCTGGGCTGGGCTGGTGAACGGGGGGGCCCATGGTTGGGGCACGCCAGCACTCCCTGTGCCTGGGGCACAACCATGGCTTCCTGGCCCCTTGCCACCCATTGGGGCTATCACTTCCCAGTCTGTGGAGTTTAGGAGGAACAGGAGATTGGGGGCCAGCCTGGGTGGAGGCTGCAGAGTTACCAGCCCCAAGATGCATGCTGGCAAGTGGGACTGCGGCTTTGGTACTGTGATCTACACTGAAGCACACTTCCCCATGTCTACAACTCAGCCCCCATTGAGGCCCCCAGCCACACCCTGAGCACAGCTACACCAGTCCACATTCCCACGGCCCATATGCACTCAGCCCTGCCCTCCACACCCTCGGCCTGTACCCCTGACCACACCCTCAGCCCTGCACTGCAGCCATCTCCATCCACACACCGCAGCCCAGACGGAGGCCCTGGCCATTCCCTCAGCATCCCCCCACATATACTAACAGACTTGCACTGAGACCCCCCAATAATACCCTCAACCCTGCACTAAAGCACCCCCACCCACAGCCCTCCACTGCAGTCCCCTGAGCACACCGTCAGTCCTGCACTGAAACTCCCTCCAGTAACATAGCCGTAAACAGAGGCCTCCCTGACCACACCCTCAGCCCGGCATTGCAGCCTCCATCCGCACACCTGCAACCCTTACTGAGACCTCTAACCACAGTCTCAGCAACTTGCCCCTCCACACCCACAGCCTCTCCAGTCAAGGCCCCCTGACCACACCCTCAGCATCCCCCTTTGTCCATACTCTCGGCTCTGCTGTGTCCACCAGTATCCACCCCACACACTGGCATTTCCAGACTCCCAGGTACTATGTTGAGAACCCCCCTGACCATACCCCTTCCTCCTCTGCAGCCTCCTGACCACACCCTCAGTCTCAGCAGACATCTTCTATCTCTACCTTTTACACTAGAGCCTCCAGTGACCCCAGCCAGGGCCCTGCCAAGCCCCCTCTCTTCCACTACCACTGGCCTTGACACTGGAAACCCCTCCCCAGTGACCACACTCGCCAATCTCTAATTTGCAGTTTCTGGGATTGTGAGCACCATAGCTCCTATGTTACAGGCACCTCTGTGGGACCACAACCCCAGTCCATACTGCGCTCCCCTTCCCTCTTCCTAAGTGCCTCCCAGAGGGACCCAAGACCTGCACTTGGTTCACCATGGGTAAAGTCCAGGGGAGCTTGGGTGCCACAGGATGCTTGTCCCAAGGTACTGGAGACAGTGCTCACTCCTGTCTGTGTGAAGATGGATTATAAAAAATCTCAGGGCTGGTCAGGTGGAGCCGAGTTGCAAGCTGCAGCTCCAGGGGTCTGCAGGCCATGGATGGAGCGGCCACACCCGTGAACTGAGGCCACCCCCCGTTCCCGCTGGGACACCTGGAGTCATCAATCAGCCGGGCATGGAGGTGGGGGCCGGGGGTTAGAACGCTTGGGGCCAGAGCAGGGCCTCTTAGCTGGTGTCATTCGGGGTTGGGACCCTTCCAGGCCGCTCCCACCGCCCCCCTTCTTATCGTGCAGGATACTGATTAGGGTGGTCGGTGTCCCAGTCTCCTACGGGCTTCTACCTCGTGGCTGCTCCTGCAGTACGCGTTCGGATGGACGGAAGGACGCAGGAATGCACCGACGGACGAGGGAGACCAGGCGGCTCCGCAGCTCCGCTCCCTGCCGGCTCCAGGGCGGGACTGCAGCCAGGGCGGCTCGGCCGTATTATCCCCTGTTTCTCGGTCTCCATAGAGACGGCAGGTCCCACCCCCGAGGCTGTCTCGGCGGGAGAGTGACCAAGGTCACGCTGGCTCCACCCATCAAACCCCGCCCTTTCCGCGCTCCGGCCTGCGGGGGGCGGAGCTGCTATCTCAGCCTTATCCCGGCGCTCCCCTGCGGCTGGGCGGTCTTCTCGACTGGGGAGACAAGCCGTCTGCATGTCTGGATGTCCTCGGATGGCTCTCTGACAGGAAAACAGCCCTCTATCCTGCGGGCCCCCGACCTCCAGGGGAGATCCAGCTTCCCAGAGGGCATTTGGGAACTGGAGCGTGGGGGGTGGGAGGTAGTGGGAAGGTCCTTTCCCTCAGTTGTAGGGGTCTACAGCTGGCTCAAGACCACAGCTGGCCACTGAAGGTGTGGCATCCCCAGGACACAAATCCCACGTTCTCCCGGGTAGGGTCCAGAGTCCGGAGCACTGGATGAGGGAGGGGACAATGAGCGAATCACACTTGCCCGGCCCTAGAATACTTCGACGGTGATCTCTCCGCCGGGAAAAAGCTCCCGGACTCCGGGGTCCGACTCCTTTTATTTCCACCTCGCCCGGGCCTCGTAGCAGCCTCTGCTGCCGCTGCTGCCTCCGGAGCCCAAAGCCTGCTTCCCCTCAGTGTCCAAGTGCAAATCCTATCTTTAAGAAAAATAACCTCGAGGACGTCTTCCAGGGCCTTTCCTAACCACCAGCCCGGTACCCGGGCGCCGCGGATACTCGCGCACCTCCATAAGACCATCCAGGTGGCCACCTACTGTACAGGGACCCCCCCTCACCCTCTGCCCCCAGGCTGACCGGCAATGTTCCGGCTCCCGGAGGGCCCACGGCCCTTGCCATTAAGAAAGTAAGCGCCAAGTCCGCAAAAGCATAAAAAAAGTTTATTGGAGCATCATGGCCGGTAGGGTGGGTATTGCTGAGACGTAGGGGAGGGAGGCCGATCCCGCCGGCCGTAGGGGCCCCTAAAGTGCACTCGGTGCCGCAAGAGTGGGGTGTTGCATAGAGAGTCGGGCCGGCCGCTCTTCCTCGGCCCTTCTGCCTCTGGGCCCAGCTAAGCCAGGCCGGCCTCCCAGCCGCCCAGCGCCCCGGGCTCGCCGCTGCTCCGGCTCACGAAAACGGCGGGCGCACGCGTCTGCGGCGCCAGCCCGGGCTCTCGGTCCCTAACCCCCGGGGCGGCCAGAGCGGCGCTGCCCAGGCGCTTCTGCGCCACTGGAATCTCGTCCATGGACTCGGCAGACGCCGACTGGTAGGCACCTGATGCGCCAGCGGCGTGCATGGGGCTGGTGCCCACGGAATCCGTCGAGGAGCTGGAGCAGCTGCCGGGGGCCCGGGGCCCTGTGCAGTGGAGGGCAACGTGAGACTAGGGCCTGCGACTCGCTCCGGGCTCTGCCTTTCCCTCCCCTGGAGCTCCCCGAGCAGGACCCAGAGAGCAAGGGCGCTCACCCCGCAGCTTGGACAGCGAGGACGCCCGGTCCAAGGTCCCAGACGTTGGCACCTTATACACGCGCCGCTTCCTCTTTTTCTACAAAGACAGAGGGGAGATGAGGGCCGCTTCCCCAGACCCCACATCGCCAGAAGCAGCAGAGGTGTGCGGTAGGGTAGAGGCTTCCTTCCCATCCCCCTCAACCTGGACAGAGGGTCCAGTACAGTCTCTCCTACCTGGGGTCGGATCTGGAAAGGCAGGGCGAGAGTGTCTGGGGAGGAGGGTGGTGGAGGCTCCCCTTGGCCACTGGTGGCAAGAAACCGAGAGGGACTGAGGGGAAAACAGGACGGTAAGCTCTGGTTGCTGTTCCCCCGAATCCTTCCCTGCTGGAGGTCCTGATAAAAGCCTCCTTTCCCAGCAGAGGAGAGAGGGCCATTGATCCATCGTCTAATGCCATACTGGGCTGGACCTTGGCTTTGGCCTACACCCTTTCTCCTACCTGGGATGGCCCTGCCATGCTAATGGGAGATGCCCATGTGGTATATGCCCAAGTTGCACTCACTTGGCATTCACTGCCGGTGGTCTCGCCTGGTCAGGGGGCTCTGGGCGCACATGGCTGAAGGTCCGCATGTAGAACTCCATCTCCTGGGGAAGGTGGGGATCAAGGAGGCTGGGAAGCCAGGTGTGGACCCAGGGCCTCCTGAATCCTGAGCCCACCCAGTGTCGAACACATGTCCTCACTGGCCTAAGTAGAAGGTTGCAAGCCTCATCCCAGTGGTCTAGGGCTGTCCTCCAGATTCCCAGCTGTGCTGGGAAAACCCTTCTGCTGGATGAGACTTTAAAAACCCATTTCTGGACCTTACCCCATCCCCAGATCCTCACTTCATTTAGTCAGTTGACCCCGTACACCCACTATACAGCTGATTGGACCGAGGGGGTGGGATGGGGAAGAGGAGCTCAGAGCTGCCCTCTCCAGCTCCCCCTCCTCCCAGGACTCCAGCCTCTGAACCGAATTTTTCTCCCTGGTTGGGAGATAGGGCAGCTGTTCAGAGGCCATAGTATGCACCCGAGGTTGTGTGTCCGGCTCGCCGGCTCCTGAGTCCTGCGTGCACCCCTCACTCTCACAATCCCGGCTTCTGAGAAGGGGTGTGTGCGCGCGGTCTCCCCTGCCCCTACCCACAAAAGGGAAGGCAGTGAGTGGTGGAACCAAAAGCGCCGCAGCCCCATCCCGCACCAGGCTTATGGGTGAGCTGTGTGTCTTGTTTAGTCGCTGATCTTCACAGCGACTGCAGGGACTAACCGCAACCCCCGAAAGCGAAGGGACCTTGAAGCCGGGAGGTCGCAGGAGCGGCCTAGGCCTGCACCCCAGCACAAAGGACGCGCCCCAGCTACGCCCGCGGGTGAGGACTGCAGGTGAAGAAACAAAATCCAGGAAAAAGTCAGCCCGGGAAAGGCGGGGTGCGAGGATGTGGGGTGGAGCCAGGGCGGCGAGGCCCCGCCCCGTCGGGGAGTGGGGGGGGGCGGGGGCAGATAGGGGAGCACCCGGACAGCTGTCGCCGGCTCCGCAGCCGTTTCCATGGAGACTGAGGCGTCCTGACTAATGCAGAGACGACACTGAAACAGCAATACCGTCTCTAAAACAAGCCTATGTTTGGGGGCAACGGCTCCGAGAGGAGCCCCTCCCGCATTCCTGCTCGAGGTGGGGGTGGGGAGGCTGTCTGCGGGGCCTTGGCAGATCTGGGGGACAGAACCCAGCTGGCTGCGAACTGGCTGCACAGGTGCAGAGACCAAGGCGGGGGGCCAGCCCCATGTCCAACCTCTGCCTAGGCTGATTCTTTGGGGAGGGGTGTGGGGGTACTGGCCTGAGCAAAGGAGCCCAGAGTCTGGGGTCAGAGGCCAGTCACAGAGACTGGGACCTCAAGGAAATCATTCCCTACATCTTTCCTCATCCCCACTGTGGACTCAGCACCCCTCTCTCCAGGGCCCAGCAGAGAGGAGTGAAGCCTACCCTGGGGCCCCAGGGCTCCAGTGGGTGGGGCAGAGAAGGGATCAGCAGTACAGGATGGTCCCAGAAGGCTGAGGGGCCAGGACGGGACAGGAGCCAGGCCCTAGCCAGCTGGGGAAGTCTGAGAGTGTCACCAGGAGGCCCCCACTCAGATCCTCCTCCTCTCATCACAGCTGTCCCTAGGATCCTCTCTCAGAGCCCTTCAAATATTTGCACTTTCGTAGATGATTGAGTGGCACCTCTCAGCCTCAGCGCTCTCATCTATAAAAGGGGACAGCACACTGCTCCTACCCACTAGGTAGGTCTCCCTTAAATCATTTGTAGATGGACAGAACAGAAATTAAATGTCCTTGCTGCTGTCAAATCTGGCCCCAAAGCCTAGGCAGGGCAGAGGCACAGAGGCTTGGAGTCTGGGCATCCCAGGGCCAGCCCTGCCTCAATGGGTGCTGGCTGTAAAGCCTGAGACACTCTCCTGCCTACCTCTCTGAGCCTCAGTCTTCTCTGTGATTTGGGGAGGGGGATGATGTCCACTGCCCAGAATGGATGCTACTGTGTTTACACAGGTCAGTGCCCGGCACCAGGGCAGGTTTACAGTGGTGTGGAAGCCTGGTGATGAGAACAGAGGTGGAGTCCTCCCCCAACCCGCCCACCAGCTTGTTTGTGTCCAGTTTCCATGAAGACTCGGGCATCTCGGGGGGGATCCAGGGCTCAGCCTTCCCAGCAAAGTCTGCCTGGGACCCTTGCCTTGCCAGTCCCTAGGGGCTCTAAGGACTGAACCTCCCCCTCCCCCAGCTGCTGACCTCAGGAAGCCATGGGGCGTGGGAATGGGGATAGCCGGGTCAGCAGCTGGGCTGGCCAGGCCAGAGCCTGGGCTGGAGGGCTCCTGCTTCAGAGTGTGGAGACGTTAACTCTTCCCAGACCCAGCTTCTGTTTAACCTTTCTAGGACTCAGCCTGCTCACTGCAACATGGGCGTGGTGACAGTACCTGCCTCATGGGGTGTTCTAACGATAGAAAAGGTAGGTAACGGGTACAAGGGCTCAGTGTCATGGATGGAGGGAACTGATGACTCCATCCTAGCCAAGTCTCTGACCCAGTCACTGGTCCATCCCTCTCTCTTCTCCTGTAGCCCCAATCTGCCTGCCTCAGGGCTCCCACACTCTCCAGCACATGCGTGGAGCCTGGAAAGGTGCATACATGGGGTCAGGGAAACACAGGGCTCCCACATGCTAATTACAGGTTTGGCCCCTGTTGCCCCCAGCATCCCCTACTCTACCTGTTCTAGGCTTGCTTCCCTTGCCCTGTCTCCTCATTGGCTGCTCGCTACACAGCCCACCTCCACCCCCACCCTGGACCCCATCTTCCACCCCCTCAGTCCTCTAAGCCACCTCTATACCTGTATGGGCCGCATCTTGGGGGGACACGACTCGAGCTCCCTGTGGGCCCCCTTTGCCTCCTGTGGTGGGCGGTGCTGCACGATGTACTCATAGGTGGTGAGCTTGTGCCACACTGGAGGGGAGGGGAGAGGGCTCAGAGCAGTGGAGGGGCGATGCTGGAGCTCAGAAGGGGAGGGAGGGCACACAGCCCCAGGCTGTAACCACTGTCCCCAAATACACTAAACTATGGGTGAGACCAGGCCCCCATAGAGAGCCAGCACTGGGACAGGTATGGTTTCAGGGCTCTACATGCCAACTGGGCACCTCCCTGCAGTCTAGGGACCCTTATCACCTGTAAGGCAGGTGTGTGTGGAGACAGTGGAGGGGCACTTACTGAGGTAAATGTGGAAGCAGAGCAGGTGGCCGAGCAGGGCTGTGGAGAGCAGGCCCAGAAGGATGAGGAGGGCAGCCAGGGCCAGGATGGCAGGTGCCTGGGTCTCCACGGGGGCAGCAGGCAGGAACACAAACCACATATCTGTGTGATTCTTCAGGACTGCAAGGCACAAGCAGACTGTGCTCACCTGGGCTGTGACCAGTGACCATAACTGACTGGGGGTGGGTGTGGGCCTGGAGCCCAAACTGACCTTCAAAGTGTTGGTTGGTGCGCAGCTGCATGGGGTTGACAAAGAACTCCACAAAGACATAAGTGGCCACCAGCACCAGGAGCAGGACACCCAGTAAAGCGGATGCCACACTGTGTAGAAAGAGCCTGGGCCCAGCCACGGGCAGTTGTCAGCACCCGGGTGCTCCAGCTCAGAAGGGCCCATGGCTGGGATGGGGGGCCTGGCCTCTGACCCCACAGCCTCAACTCCTCAGAAGCCAAAGGCACAGGGCACAACTGAAGATGAGCGGCCACCCCATCAGGCTCCTTCCCCCCTTATCTGGGCTAGCAACCTTTCTCTGGACCCCAAAACCACCCTTAGCGGTCCCAGCCGGCACCCCGGGAGCACCCCCCTCTCAGAGGAGCACGCGCGACTGCACACCAGCGCACAGGTCCTCGAAGCGCCCCCATCGCCGCCCTGCCTCGCGCAGGCTGCCAGGTCCCTGGCTCACACGTTCAGACCGCGCAGCTCCGGCCCCGCTCTCACCGGTAGTTCCTCTCGCCCACGCAGTTGTTGAGCCACTTGCAGTGATGGTCGAAGCCGCACACGCACTTGTTGCAGGCGCTGCAGTGCTTGGAGCGAGAGCTCCTGCGGGTGCAGGGGGCACACAGCACCGGCCGGCTCATTCAGCTCCTCTTGGCCCGGCCCGGCCTGCCCCGCCCGAGAGAGCGGATTGGGGTCGGTGGAGGGACCCGAGCGCTGGCCTGAAACCGCGTTACCGACGAGGCGCCTCCAACCCACAGCGGTGCGCGGCGACGAGGAGCGCGCGCGCCCTCTGGAGGCACTGCGGAGTGGGACCCTGGGGGAGGCGGCGCCTCCGAAGAGCTGGGGGACCCCGGAGGCAAGCCAGGAAAAGATGCGGGTGCGAGCTAGAGAGCAGGAGAGAGCAAGGCTGCCAGAACCACGACCTGCATTGCTCTCCCTGACATCTCCATTTTGGGGTCCCTTTTTCCCTGCCATTCTATGGGTATTTTACTGCCATCTGCAGTCTTCCAGAAAACCTGCCTGTGGGGGCTAATCCCGCCCCTGTCTCAGAATGCTTGTGAGAAATGGGAAATGTCACTGGCAGAGTTCGTCATTAGAAATGTTTGTGGCAGTGCCAAATGTTTCCTACTTTGTTGGAAATGCTTTTCCTCATCTGTTTCCAATCACCTTCTTCCTCACCTTCTCAGGGACCCAATTCTCTGTCACTCCATTGAGATTTTTGACTGTGTAACACACAAGGGTTCTCAGGCAGCGGGATGACTGTGAAGCCCTGGCATGCCCCTCTCCACCTTGAGCCCTGCTGGTGGGCCCCACGCACACTCAGTGCCCACACGTACCCAGACACCCACACTCGTGCACTCACACATCCACATCGCACAAGTTGCAATGCAGGTCTTCAATGACGTGTGCATGTTGGCTGCGGTTGAAGATGGGCAGCGGCCCTGCATAGCTCTTGTCCCGCACATTGGCATCTGCTGGATCGATGGAGACAGCAGTCAGGTGCACCACAAGGTGGCCAGCAAAGATGGCGCCCATGCACTGGCCCAGCAGGTTAAAGACTCACTCCACACTGCCAGCTGGGAGCCCCGTGCCACTTCTGAAGCCAGAGAACTTCTCCACCTCCATGCTGACTCCCTCTGCAGTCTTTCTCTGCCTGTGCCACCTCCTACCTCCAGCCCCCCAAGAGCATCCCCATCAGACCTCTTCAGCAGGCCGCTGTGCCCCATATGGAAGAGGAGAGGGGTCATCTGGTAATGGAGCTCACAAGCCAGCACTGCCTGCTGCCACCACCAAGGGGCCCAACTATAGGGCCCTGGGCTCCCCGCTCTGGGCCTAGCACAGGCCCTGGCTGGTCAGACCTCAGGCCAGTTTCTGGTTTCAGATTCCAAATGATGAAGTAAAACTGAAAGATCATCCCCTAAGGCTCAGAAACCTAAAGTTTAAGTTCTGAGCTTGCTTTCACAGGAAGTCAGCTCCAAGAGGGAAGCAGCCATCCCCTTTAAGAAGCCAGGCCTTTAAGCAGCTGGACCCCTTTAGGCAGCCAGGTCCCTTTAAGAATCCCCTTTAAGCAGTGGAGAATCATTTGCAGACAGAGGTCGCTCACTTGGTGTCTAGGCCCTTGGAGCCCTGGGCTGAGTGTCTGGGATGGCCTGACATGTTTAGATCCTGGCCAGGGGCAGCATAGCTAATTCCTGGAGCTGAAATGCAGCTCTTCTAGGACCTATCTGCTCAGTGACTGAGCCAAATGCAGGAAACAAGTATGCTGACAACTTGTTGCAAAGTCTAAATATGTAAAAATTCACCAACAGATCCCACCCGGGCAGCCATCCACCCTCCCTCCCTCCCTCTACCCACTCACCCACTCGCCCACGATCCTCCATGCATCTTCCTGCTAGCCAGGAGGACATCATCCCTCCATCGATCATCCTCCATCCTTCATCCATCAGCTGTCCAACCTCCTTTCCTGTCTTTCTCCTCCTCCTCCTAGCAGCCACATTTCTCTACATGTCTTCAAGAGCTGCAGTACAGCTGAAAACCATCCTGTGGCCATCACTGACCTCTCTATCCCTGTGGCCACTGCCACGGGCCAGGTCTTCACCTCTTGCCTAGGCCACTCTATAGTCCCCCAACTCTGCCCCTCTTGTCTGTGTTTCCTTGAGTCTACTCTTCACATGGTCACAGGGTGTTTTTTTAAAAACTTAAACTAAAGCCCTCCCTGTTTAAACTCCTACAATGGCTCTCAATGGCTCTCCAGCTATAGCTCACTCCTCAGCTCAGGGCCCAGGCCCCTCTGACTCTGGCTGCTCCCAACCTCTCTGGTATCACCAGCCACCACATCTCACCATTCTGGCCTCTCTTTAAACACACTGAACATGGGCAAACATTCAGCTTCCGCCTGCTCCCACACTTTTCCCTTCCCGCCCCTGGGTTCATTCACTCAACTGTTTACTGAGGTATTTCTTTGTGCCAGGCACTGAGGGATATGGCAGGGGCAGGACAGACTTGGTCCCTAGCCCTGAGGAGACTACGTCTGGTGGAAAACACAGATATCAAGTAAAGGGTTAATTACAATGAAGAAAGTAACTATGCAAGTTTGGAACTGAGTGACCTCATTTAATCCGAAGGGGTTCAGAAGGCTGACCTGAGGAAGGATTGTCTTAGCTGAGACTTAGAGAGGAATGGATAACAGGGACCTGGCAGGTCAAGAGGACAGGAGGCCTAGCTGGAGACTGTGGCTACCAGAACATGTAGAGTGCCACCCAAAGGTTGGCTGATGTGTGAGTCCAACTCTTGGCTGCCACACAAGAATGAGGGCCCACGTTGCCAAATTCTGGCTTTTCAAAAAGAACTAGAAATTTGGGCTTCATGTGAGAACTCTCAATGTTTAAATGTTACGGAAAAAAATTTTTAAATACACCTGTTGAAGGAACACAAGATCTGTGCATTTTGTGTGTTAATTATCCCTCAATTTTTAAAAAATCTGCAGACCAGATTGACCCATGGGCTGCCAGTTCTTGGCCACTTAGCTGGGTTTTGGGGTAGGAAGAGAGGCAACAGGCTTCCAGGCAGAAACCAATGTTGTGGAAACAGGAGAGCAGGGAACATACTTTAAGAGGAAGCTAGGGGGCCGGCCCATGGCTCACTCGGGTGAGTGTGGTTCTGACAACACCAAGGCCACGGGTTCGGATCCCATATAGGGATGGCTGGTTAGCTCAATGAGTGAGCGTGGTGCTGACAACACCAAGTCAAGGGTTAAGATCCCCTTACCAGTCATCTTTTAAAAAAATAAAAAAATAAGCGGAAGCTAGGGAGATGAGCAAAGTCCAGAATGTGGGAAGCCTTGAAGGCCATATAAGGGTCTTGAATATCATTCCCTAAGGTAGGAAGAAGCCATTAGGGGGTTTTGAGCTGGGAAGCAACATTATTAGATTTGTTTATTTGAAAGCGCACTCAGAGAGTGTGGTGCTGAAAATGCCAAGTTCAAGGGTTCAGATCCTGGTGCAGGCCAGCCGCCAAAAAAAGAAAGAAAAGTAAGAGCCCTCCGGCAGCAGGGAGCAGAGGGCTGGCCAGCAGTGACAGCGGCATGGAGACCTGTTTAGAAACTAAATGGTCATCCAGTAGGTAAGGGAGGCAGGGGGCAAATGCGATAGCTATTGAGGAGGTAAAATCAACAGAACTTGATGACTGACTGGATACAGGTGATGAAGGAAAGGGGCAGAGCCAGGGGCACACGGGAAGAGGCTGGGTACAGGCGAGGGGGAGCTCCAAGTGGCAGGCATGCTTCTGGACAGGTGGTGCTGTTGGTACGGATGGCCTCCTCCTGCTCCCACAGTCTGCTGTATGAGCCCCTACCCAACACCTGTCACATGGGGTGGGGCCCACCATCTCCGATCTACCAGCCTTTCCTCCAGCAGGAGGCCAAGCACCCCCGGGCTCATCTTCGCATCTCCAGGCCCGAGGTGGAGACTTGGTACACACCATTACCCTACCTCATTCCTCAGGGGCCTCCTCTGCACAAGGAGGTTTTGATGGAAGGAAGGGGAACCATACAGGCCTGGTCAGAGTGCCAGATCAGGTGGCTCTGGGAGCCTTCACATTGCCCAAAGCAGATGGACACTGAATGTAGAGAAGACAAAACCTTCAAACCATCCCACTTTCTCAGAGTCAGGCTGCCTGAGCAGCTCTTCTGGCCTCACTGGTACCAGCTGTGTGTCCTCAGGAAGTTACTTAACCTCTCTGAGTCCCAGTTGCTTCATTAGTAAAATCCTTACAGGATTATTAAGAGGATCAGGGGCCGGCCCGGTGGCGCACTGCTACAGTGTGCCGCTTGGGAGCACGGCGGCGCTCCCGCCGAGGGTTCGGATCCCACATACAGACCGGTTCCCACTCACTGGCTGAGCGAGGTGCGGGCGCAATGCCAAGGGTTGCGATCCCGTTGCCGGTCCCAGTCCGGTACGGGCGCGACACTGAGGGTTGCGATCCGTTGCCGGACATGAGAAAAGACAAAAAAGGAAAAAAAAAAAAGAGGATCAAATGAGATAATCTATATAAAGTAGTTGATATAAATACACAATAAATGCCAGTTACTTTTGCTTCCTGTTTTGTTTTTTTTTTGATTTTTTTTTTTTTTAAAAGATGACCGGTAAGGGGATCTCAACCCTTGGCTTGGTGTTGTCAGCACCACACTCACCCAGTGAGCAAACCGGCCATCCCTATATAGGATCCGAACCCGCGGCCTTGGTGTTATCAGCACCACACTCTCCCGAGTGAGCCACGGGCCAGCCCTACTTTTGCTTCCTGTTATTTGCTCTGATTCTACTTGCTCCAAAACACATGGTTATTAACCTGGTTTCCCAGGTGCCTTGATGGCAGAAACCCAGGTAATCCTGAGTGAGGAGCGTATCCATTCCAGATCATGGAAGGAACGTCCCATGAAGCATTCTACTTAGTAGTACTAAGGCCTGTCGGTTACCTCAGGGAAAGTCAAGTTTTCCATTCATACAGCTGATGACCAGACCCTGGGCCCTAGTGAACCAGAAGCCCCCCATAACACTGCTGGTATCTTAGGATGACCCCTCTAGGGTCCCTGTCCACATACCTGACAATGCCACTCACCTGCCCAGGGCTCTGCAGTTTCCCAAAAGAGCATGCTCCCATTTATGGCTTATGTGTTCTGGTGCTCATACACATCCTAATGTGCTCCTCGTCATCCTCCCCCTGAGAGGAGCAGGCAGGACCCTTCCCATGCACCTGTCAGAGCAGGAGGCTGAGACCCAGAGAGCTGGCAGAAGCTGCTTAGCCCTGCAGAGCCCAACAGGCGTTGAGCTAGAACCAAGTTCAGTTGCTGACTCTATGCCCCAGGCTTTTAAGCTCACCTGTGCCAACCACCCTTAGCTCACCCTAGCCCTCCTTCCCTGGGGAATCATGATCACGGTACACACACATGTCAGGACACTCTTGTAAGGACTCTCTAGATAGGGGCACATAGATGCCCGCTGCACCCCAAGCCCCTGGCCTTGCAGCCACGTCCTCTGCTCCCAGGGTTGTGGCCAGGACTGGAGCCTTCAGGGCATCTCTATTTCACCTCTTGTCACATCCAACTTCACCCTAAAAGGTTTTTACATACAAAATCAATGAGTTCATAAACAGTTCTGGGCACAGCATAATAGTCTGTCCATAAATAGAACCACATTCTACCATGACTCTTCTTAAAAAGTGAAAAATTCTTTCATAAATGGAATGATTACTTCCTCCCTAATTTGTTCTTCCTTTTGCTCTGGACACAATTAGCTTAAAGATAGCTTTAAGGCTCTCTTGTCATCGCTCTTATGGTACCTCACTTAATAGGATTCAAAT